CCGGCCCCGGGGGCAGCGCGGCGCCGCCGGGCTCCGGGCGGGGATGGGCGGGGGGCAGCGCCCGGGGGCTGCAGGAGGCTTGGGCGAAGGGCGAGGTTCAGGGCTCCGTTATCCTGCGTCGTGTGGGGCAGCTGACCAGGGGCGGGTCGACCCAAGCGCATCCCGAGCTGGTCCAGGGAGCTCTGAGGGTTGCATGGAGGTGGGAGCATCTCCGCAGCTCCTTCCTCGCTGCCTCTAGCCTCCCGCGGCAGGTCCCTTGGAGCAGGGGCAGCCGTCTTGTTCTCTGTACGTACGAGCTCGGCCGGGTCCTGGTCTGGTGCTACCACAGTACAGGTACGGCTGTGGTGTGGAGTCAAGCAGCTGTTGTGTTCCTCCCCAGAGGTGGTTGCATTACAGTGGTGGGTTAAGCAAGCTTCTGGTCATTCTGGGAAGTGTCTTGGGGCCCTTCTGGGTCGGATAGATACCAATCCCTATTTCATCACACCTTCATAACAGTGCAGCTCAGGTTGGCAAATGTTTTGTCCTGGCTGGTGCCTTCAGGGAGATGGGTCCCTGTTCAGAGAGTGAGTGGGTGTGATTGCACCCAGCTACCACTTTTTCAAGACCCCACAAGATGAGGTGTCTCTGAGCCCTGCACAGCCGGCCAGTTGTGCAGAGTGCATACCCAGCGTCTCCAGGGACAAAGCTCTGCATTGGCCAGCCCTGTGGTGGACTGGTATGTTGTTGCCACGGCCTGCAAACTGCACAGACATCTGACAACTTTTTCTTGCCCTGTGGTAGCAGTTATGTCTTGGGGCAGAGAGCTTGAGGGTACTGGGCTCCCTCACCGGCCACCTGCAGGGTGCTAGGTTTGTCTTTGCTGTTTGGAAACCACTAAGTGCAAAAATTTGGCATCTACTAAGCAACCTGCTATGCCATTCATCTGCAAGATGAATTCCCCTCTCATTGTAGAGCCCTTAGACCAGGTAGTAGGTACTGGCTGATTTCTCCTTGTAATCATGAAGAAATGAGGTGTGAAAAAGGTCTTGGACTGTGGGGCTGAATGTGGCCTTCCCCCACCTCTGCTCTTCTGGGGGATGGGGAGCCCTCTACAATGCCAAAGACTGTAGTGCTTCTGCTACGCCCGCCTCCAAGAAGTTCTGCATGGGGCTCCTCTACACTGGCATACAGTGAATTGCGTTGTCCTGGGTGGCCAATGGGAGTGTGATGCTGAGCTGGGTTTCCGCTCTGTGCTGGGTTTCCACAGCTCTGTCTTCATCTTCTGGTTCTGGCAGGGCCTAGCAAGTGGCCCCTGATCTCTGGCTGGATCAGCTGGGACTGGAATGTCTTGTCCCAGTGACTGTCTACCCTGCCTTTCACTGTCCCCCAAGGTGTCCTCTAGCTCACGATAATGCATAAGAGCCATAGGGGGCAGGACTTGAACAGTGGCCTCAAGCTTCAGCAACAGAAAACTGAGGATGGCAATGAGGGACTTTCTGACTGAGGTGGGGTCAAGCATTGGAACAAAACACCTAGAGATGCTGTGGGATCTCCACTCCTGGAATTTTAAAGAGGAAGTTGGACAGACACTTGGCTGAGATGGCTTAGTCAGGGATGATCTGCCTTGAGCAGGGGGCTGGGCTAGATGACTTTGTGAGGTCCCTTCCAGCCCTACTTTCCCATGATCCTGTGAGATGCCAGGGGTCAAAGAGAATGCATCTTGGTTCCCTCCAAGTGAGTGGGGATTTCTGTGACTTGCTGTGAGACTGCCCTGGGGTTGAACAGGGCTGTATTTTCTGTGCATGTCCATCCCTGATCCTTCTACAGATGTGAATCTCTGCCGTGCCCTACCCAGTGGTGGAGCCGTCCCCCATGCAGCGTTGCGTGACCAGCCACGTGGAGCTCCACTGTTGACCTTCTGTCTCTGCCCCTCTTTCAGAAAGGATGACTATGACTTTGATCCGCAACAGGCTGGGGCTGCTGGTTCTTGGAGTCCTGGTTACCTTTGTCCTCTATCTGTTGCTTCCGGCCATCCAGCATGAGAGGTTCACAGCACGCCTAGATGACTCCAAGCCCCTGGCCATGGAAGAGAGAAGCCAGCAAGATGCCAACACCACTGTCCTAACTGGGACAGTTGAGGGAGACCCACCCATCCTGTACAGGGAAGCCTTCCTGCTCCAGAAAGCTGGAACTCCTAGCTCAAAGAGGTGTGTTAGTGTCCTCGCCATCACAACCATTTTGGGGGCTTTGGGTGGGGTCAGCCTGCATGCGTTACAATCTGTGTCTGGCCCTGTCACAGACAACAAATCAGGTGTTTTAGCTGGGGTGCCTTGGGCTCAGCTCTGGATCTGGGAAAGCAGGCTCAGGCTTGCCTGGCAGACAGGAGGCATGCCCAGATGGTGGTGCTGCTTTCTAGTTTAAATGCCAGAGGTGCTGAGATGGGACATATGTGAGCTGAGCTGCTGGAGGGTAGGGGGGCTGCTGTGCTGTCATCCTGAGCTGTGAAGCCAAGGCCCTGACCACTCTGTTGCCAAACACCCTGTACTGCTCCTTCCAAGACCAGAGATGTTACGCCATGCCATCTCCCACAATGCCAGCTAGTCTGCCTGCCTGCCTGTACAGCCTGCCCAGGGATAACTGATACAGAGGGTAGGGAGAGGAAGGATTGCTCCTCACTTCTTGTCTTATGCTGCATCTGTAAGCCTTTAGATAGCTTCTTTGTTCCACCCCAGATGTGGCTGCATTTCTGCAGCTGGGGAAAGCAACTCCTATATGTATAACTTAGCAATCTGAGTGCTCTGGGCTGGTGGGGAAGGGGAGAAGGGCAGAAACTGCCAGGTGTCTCTTACCCCTCTAGCTGCTGTCTGTCCCTTGCAGGCTGGATGTGATCTTCCTACATGGCCAGGCTTTCACGTCCAAGACGTGGGAGGACCTGGGCACGCTGGCCCTGCTCTCGGAAGAAGGCTATCGTCCCATCGCCATTGACCTTCCTGGTAGGCATGTGCCACTGACCTTGCCTTGTTGATGTTTGCTTGTAGCTGGGCTCCCCCCACCACCAGGTGTGCACAGAAGCGACTGCACAGCACTGGGGTTTTAAGCACGAGAGTGCTGGGGGCACTGTGTGATTCTCTGGCCTTGGAAGGTTTGAGGGATGATTTAGTCAAATGCTCATCTGGGATGGCTTGGGCAGGGCTGATCCTGCCTGAGCAGGGCCTGAACTGGATGTGACCTTGTGAGCACCCTCCCAGCCCCACTTTCCTGTGAGTCTGTTCTCCTTTGGCCCGTTCCACAGAATCCCAATCCTGTGGTGCAGACGGCCCCCTCGGCAGGTGTTGCCTGTACACAGCAGGTGAAAGCCCGGGCCTTTGGCTTTCACAGTTCTGTTCATGTTGTTCTACAGACCTGACAACCCTTGCCAATGTAAGGTGAAGCATCCAGAGCCAGGGCACCTATTAATTTGCCAGAGACCTGCCAGCTGGGAATGTCAGTCATGCGCTTACCTCCTAGTGGTGGCACAGTGTCTCTTTTTCAGCAGTCCTGGGTTACCAGTACTTGGCAGGAGGGGAAGCCAGGAACAGGTTATGTTAGCAAGGCTCACATCCCTGTGCCCAGGACTCTAGCTAGGGATAGTGCCCACAGCCTGCATGTTATCCAAATCAGAGCATGTCCCTCACCCCAGGAGCTGTGGGTCGACCATTGTTGTGTTGGTTCTAGAGTAAACCTCCACTGGATTGCATGGGTTGGGAAGCTTGGCAGGAGAAGCCATCCGGTGGCTTAGGACTTTGGCTTGCCAAGATGCTGGCTCCAGCCTGCATTCCTGGGGCATTTCTCCTCCCTGACAGGCTTTGGTAGCTCCCCGCGATCTGATGCTGTCTCCACGGAGCAGGGCCGGGTGGCTCTCCTGCAGCGTGTCCTGAAGATGCTGAGTGTCCACAAGCCAGTCCTGGTCAGCCCTTCAATGAGTGGCCACTACTCTATCCCCTTCCTGCTGGCACATGGGGCAGAGTTGAAGGGCTTTGTGCCCATCGCTCCTGTGGGCACCAAGGATCATTCTGCACAGCAGTACCAGGAGGTCCAGGTAGGGAGTGGTGTGGTGCTAAGGGAGGAGATGGAGCCATTGCTTGCAATGGCAGGGTCTCTGCTTGTCTGTCTGTGGGCTAGTGGAGGGTGATGTCCTGCCTGGCAATAATGCTAGGCTTTCAGCGGGACTTGGCCAGCTTTTTACCCTTAGCACATCTGGTATATTGGGTTAGCACACTGGAGGGAGACCCACCTGACTAGGCCTTAGCCTGTGTGGGCTGGAACAGTTCCCTAGAGGAGGGCAAGGTGTCTGAGGGGCCAGGATACATGTGGGCATGTCTTTGGCCTTGGGCAGGGAGGCCTGTATGAAGGCTTGAATCTCTTCAGCCCAGCCTCCTATGTGGTACCTTCCTAGCCAGCTTGGTGGGGGGTGGGGAACGGTGCTTGTGGGCATGCGGAGGGCTGTGCTGCCCCTCACCTGGTATTGGGGGTGCAATAAGTTACCTGCACTCACGGATCCAACCACTGAAGCTGTTCTATCTTGGTGCATGTGTTTCTGCAGACCCCAACTTTGATCATCTATGGGGACAGGGACACAGGCCTGGGCACACAGTCCTTGCAGAGCCTCCAACAGATCCCAAAGCACCAAACGGCTGCACTGCGGGATGCTGGCCACGCCTGCTACCTGGACAGGCCACGCGAGTTCCACGAGGTGCTGCTGAGCTTTCTGGGCGAGCTGAAGTGACTCCAGCCCAGCCCAGCCCAGAGCCTGGCCACGGGGCTGACTGACTGACTGTGTTCTTATGGGCTGTGGAGTCTGCTCTGCCTGTGGCTGGTGTTTCTTATTGTTAGCTTGTGGCACTACTTCCCCCACCCCCACCCCCGTGCTCCTGGCTGTCTCATCCTGTAGTGACTCTGTCTAGAGGGGGTCAGGGGGCCAGGGGCTTCTGGTGTGTGTGGGGCTGGAGTGGTTCCCCTGGAGGGTTATGTGCACCCTTGTTCTTTCCAGGTGTTGGCTGCTGCTAGTATGTTGTCTGGCTCTGAAAGGGGATATGGCAGCTGCTGGGGTTTCTCTTGTTCAGAGACACACACTTGTATGGGTGTTTGGAAGCTTCCTTCTGCTTCCAGCTGAGATCTGGGGCATGCTGTCCTTCAGAATCCAGGCCCCACTCAGCTTTCCCTGCAGGGCAGGTGGATGGATGGTGGAATCTGCAGGGAGGCTTCCAGAGGAGCTGGAGACCAAGGGGGCTTTGCTAAATTGAGGGCATCTGCCTGGGACATCCGAGTAAAAGCCAGGCTGAGGCCAGAAGACCTAGCATGGCTTGCAATGGCTTCTCCTAAAGGAGTTTTGGAGTATCACATCAGGGTGTGCTGGGGCTGTCTTGGAAGTGGGCAAGGAGGTCTCAATGGGCTGGGAATTGGTTGGTGGTGGTTCTTGGTGTTGAATGGACTCCTTGTCTATATTTCAGATATTCAGGGATGGCTGATCTTGCTGCTTTCCCTGCTGATATGTAAGTTTTCCCCCTGCCCTACCTGGGGCAAAGGGTCTCTGAAGGTTGTCTGTAACAAGGCCAATAAACTGTTTTGTACAGGGCTTGCTGTTCTGCCATTGCCTGGTGACAGCTGTGCTTGCTGCTCCTCTCTGGTCATTCTCTCGTGCTCCAGTTCTGGGAAAGGGGAGATTGCCTCCTTCCTACCAGAGCTGTGTCTGTGTGCTTCCCTGTGGGCAGAGGCAGCTGGCTGCTGCCTGGGGCAGGGAGGAGGCAGCTGCCTTTAACTTCTCCCCTGGGGATCCTTAATGGGTGGTGAATGAAGGGGTGAATGGCTGGATGGGAAGCTGCATGTCCAGCAAGGGAACTGCCCATCAGAAGTCTCTCTTCTCTCCCAGCTCCTGCTCCCTTCCTGCTCTGCAGGATCAAGAGCCATCTCACCATTGGACC